AAACAGTGACTCCTCTACAATGGACTGTGTTGTGTTTTTGTGTTGTGTATTTGAGCTGGTACAGGCTCTGTATCACACACACTCACAACTTTGGAGCCTAAGGATTTCATCTGGTCGTGTTACTGATAGAATGATGGATGTGCGCTTGTGCACTTTCAGTCGTACAGTGAAATTAGTGAACTTGGAAACCTGAGAGAAGCTCAGTCCAAGCACGGAAAGCATCTTCCCTCCGGTAGTAAAATAGCTGAGATGTCACACACTTGTAGTCATATTTTATGTCTGACAGCCACCCTAGGTAGTACGCTGCTGGTACTTCTTAAGAAACATCTGACATCTGAATGACATTCCACCACAGTGTGTGTGGGTGGACAGAGGTCAGATTCCTGACCCCTTTCTGCCATCGTTCAACCGTTTCACTGATAACGTTTACCCTGAACAGAGATTAAAAACTACTGACTTGCTGACATGATGGCTAACAGCTCCTTCATTGAGTCTGCAGTTCACAGAAAACGTGCCTCTGCGTCTGCCTCTTCCTGGTTCTTTTTACTTTTTTGCATAAACACAAACCTGGGTTAATGATGAACATTTAGATGATTATTTCCTAAACCTCGGAAGTTACATATTTGCTCATTTATGGCCTGGGTGTTTTGAAGTGGTTGGTGGGTTTTTGCTTTTTTTTAGCTGTAGTTTAAAGAGGTGAGTGTTGGTTTTTAAGTGTTTGCTAAATATGCGTTTTCCTTAGATGTGTTGTTTGTCGTGAAAGGTAGACCAGTAGCCTTGAAAGACGACATCTCTCAATGCAACGCCACAGTGTGGAGACCCAGCACATTCCTCTGGCAGTCTGGACCGACCTGTGGGCTTCTGCTGTCATTACTGTAATTTACAAACATTTCTCAACAGTTACACAAGCGGCTGAATCTACCTGCTCTGACATGGAACCTCTCTGTGTGTTGACTCGCAGAAAAATGATAAAAATTGAGCAGCACTTGCTCGAAGCTCTTTGGAGACAAAGTCATGTGATCTCAGAGGTGATAAACATTGACTAAAGAACTGTTGGATGCCCTCGAGACCCTGGAAACATATTTAAATAACAATCATTCATTTTCTCAGTTACATAGAAATTCTTTCTAAAACAAATTGGGAAATGAAGGTTCTTGGTTGGTTTGGGAAATACAGTGGCATGACGCTGCAGTTTAGCCGTGCTCTTTTTGAAAACATAACGTACCATTGTGACTGTCCATAATCGTTGTAAATACACGATACAACTGCAATCCAACTGTTGGTGACAGACAGGATATTGACAAGGAAAATGCTGGGCATCACCAGCAACGCCGGTACCAAACTGAAGCCAACCTGAGAGGAGTTAGCCAGTTGTAAGACTAAAAGGTGATTGAAGTAACATTAACATTAAACATGACAGTTTCTGGATTGTGTATAAAAGGAGAATCGACTAAATATTTGTACACTTATAAATTTGTTTTATTTGGTTTTTAAAAGTTTTACCAACACACACGCATCTGTTGTCTAATGCCAGGTGACACGATGAGCAAGTAGGATCTGCAGAGGTCAAAGGGCACATTTCTCCAGAGAGTTGAATGATTCAGACTCTGGGAACTGTGGCTTGTTACACAAACACACTGACTTCAATAACACAACAGAGCCTGTTTGCACGGCTGCTTCTCCAATTTCCCTCTTTTATTAAGGGATTCACCGTCAAAGGGTGAAAAAAAGTGTTTGTGTGTGTGTGTGTGTGTGTGTGTGTGCACACCAGTGTTGATGTTTGTTCCCTTCTTGTGTTCTTGGATATTTAATTGATTCTCCGCAGGAGGGCTTCAAAGTACTTTATTGTTATCTAGAACTTTATTCTTTAACTTCTGTGAACCATCCTCTTTGTCTTGTCTGGGAAGGTAAATCAAGGACGACGAGAGCAGATGTTTTTGAAGAGGGACCATAAAATGATTACAGCGCAGAGCAAAGATGCAAACAGCCCATTTAGAGGATTAGACCGTAGTGTGAGTCCGACATGGACACGGAGCTTCAGGCCTGCGGTAAAACCTTCAAAGTAAAGGTGTTCAGTAAAGAATCATTTTTTTGACCATCACCACCATTGTACAGTAAAGGTAGTGGGTGGACTATTACTGCGTGTCTGCCTCAATCCTGAGGCAGAGATGGAAAAAAAATAAGCGTCAAAACCCTGGTCTTCATGGTTACAGGTCCTAACATTTTTTTAATAATTGTGAAAAGACACAAAGCAGTCACTCTCCCTGATAACAGATGTGCTTTTGAAACAAGTTTTTAGATTTTCTTTTTCTCCCCAAATCTCTGGATTCCTTCACTGTCATTCCAGTTACACCGAGGGTCAAACCACTGGGTTTGTCAGATCAGGGTTAACCTCAGCACCACTGACTTCCAATCTAAACTGGGAACATGACCTCTGACCTGCTCGCCACGCTGTCAAGATCAACACCCGGGGCAGCAGAGGCATGGCTCTGTGTCTGACCACATCACCACACTCAGTCATCTTCACAGTTCTTGGCCCCACACCCCACACTATAGTACGATACTATTCTTGGTTCTCTTTTTCCTGACCCTGATCTGTTTCTGTTTTGTTGTTTTTTATTTAGATTAAATTAACTTTTTTTTCTGATCTGGCCTGTTATTCTTCTGTACTGTGTAAACGGCTGCAGGCCAATCTACTGAAAACAAGGAATCTGATCCTACAGAAGCAGGAAAGAACTGTTTATTTTGTTCTTTCCTTGCTGTCATTATGTTATGTAAATGAGACCATTCCACACTCAGTCGTTTCCTACCAGATCAGTTTTGAATTTTTTGGTAATATCCATGTCTAGGATAACCACTGAAAACCATAGATGTTTGATCAATAGTTTCAGACATTTGAACATTCTCAGACCAGATGTCTTGGTCAGTGTGAGGTGCAGCGCTTTACTGTTTGACCTCCGATGAATCAGCAGGCCAGTGTTGGTAATGTTGAGGTAATCTTCACCAGCTTGGGGGTCACAGAGGTCGGACGTGTTTTATTGGTGAGGTCAAATGTCTTTGCATCTGCGAGGTCGGTAGGCAAGAGTTTGCAAGTAAATGTTGAGAAACTGAGGAATCTGGAAAAGCTCTGAAAAAAATAAACCACCTGCATCTGTCGACTAGTGAAAGACGGAGTTCATATAACGTCGTAATTCATCTGAGTGAGAGCGTGGTCTTCACTGATCTCTCAGACACACGATGTGGATCAGTTTGAATCACCCTACGGTACAGCACATCATGAGGCATTAGTTTTCTGTATCCTCCTACGGTACAGCACATCATGAGGCATTCTTAGTTTTCTGTATCCGTGCATGTGATCTAACCCTAACCCACTGTAGTGGATTAAAAAAAAGAAAAGGAAATCCGTAAAATAAGAATAATTGCTGTAGCGGTGTCAACATCTGGGTTTTCAAAGAAACTCAGGAGACGTCTTTTTATTACGGCTGAATAAAACAGATTCAACAGACAGTAAACTGTAATTATGTGTTTAATGTAAACAATGTTTTTAATTAAGATTAAAAAGCAGCCAGAATCCGTCACCTCAGTGTTTTAGATGTCATCAAACACCAAAGAGCGTGTATTTAGTGAAGACAAATTCTCTCAGAGCTGTTTGCTGTCACTTGGCTTCAAGTACGGGAAAAAAAAAAAATCAAACTTGATACCAGATGCCAATTAAATGAACAAAGTCGTCAACAGAAAATAATATAATGTAGTCGATAAAAAATGGAATCTCTTCATTAATCAGCCCCAGGTCAAAACCTGCTTCTTTGCCTTGTCTTTCAAATGTTTACGTGTCGCCAGGGAGACGCATCTTAACGTGACGAGTCATTATGATCAGATACCTTTAAACACTATAACATGTGTCTTAATACTTTTTGATTTATCTGTTGGATTTTGCTGTAAAGTGCTTCCAGTGTTTACTGGCTAGAAAAAGAGACATTTGTTTTTATTGTTGTGAGAAGCTTGGTTTCTCCTAGTGGTGGAGTTTACGGGGTCGACACCTCTCTGTCTGAGGTAAATGGAGGGCCACAGTTGAGGAATTACAATGGTCTTCCCCCAGGCAACAACAACAATAAATACGCAGCATGTAGACAACTTTATGTTTTTCTCTTTACAGTATGTCCCTCTGTGAAGTGTTTCTGGGTTGGGTTACTGAGCCCTGCTCTTTCTTTAGTCAATACTGAACCAAAGTTGTTTTTCTTTATATCACTATCACTTTAACTGTTTAATGGCCGCAGAGGCATGTGTGGCCAATCCCAATCTGGACAGTTTGTCAATTAATCACAAGACCAGTGCACCGACACAAACAACTTTTCATGCTCACATTGTCAATTTAGAGTCGTTTAACAAACCATGTCCACGTTGGTGCGCATGTTGAATTCCACTTAACAAACCATGTCCACGTTGGTGCGCCTGTTGAATTACACACATACACACATACACAACATACACAGAGTCAATCCTCACAGTGTCAGCCAATGATATTAGCCACTGCACCCACCGCTGTGTATATTATTGTTTGACCAAAAGCAAAATAGAAAAACACAGTTTAAGTATTTTTAGAATAAACTGCAAAAAAACCCTATAAAAAATATTGACTTATTGTTTCAGTCCAGAGTAATGACACTGGTTATTACTGGTTATTACTGGAGCTCGTCGCAGTAATAACCAGTGGAGACATCTCTCTTTCTCCGTCTCCTGTTCTCTGTACAGTATGTTGCTGGAATAGATTTTTATTTGTGACCAATCTGAATGTAAAAATCAAGAAAAATAGTCCTAATTTGTGCCACATCACTTCAAAGACCAGCGTAATTCTTCTGCACAGGTCGCATTCTTTCTTAACTGTAGTCTCGAGAGAAGCATTCGAACAATGACAATGACAACAGAGCACAGGAACAATTCCGGTGTGGGTTGAGAGAGAGGTAACAAAGGAATTTTGTAAAACTAATTTAAAAAAATACTCTATAGAACGGAGGACAGAGATAAAGGAGTGAAAAAAAACAGAGACTGAGAGACAATGGAAAACTAGAGGGAAAGCTGTTGATGGGAGAGAATATGTAGGTGGAGGGAGGAAAGGGTGAGGCTGACGCCAGCAGAACTATAGGAATGTGAGAGGAGCAGCGGAGAGGAGGAGGGCAGAGGAGCAGGGCAGAGGAGGAGGGCAGAGGAGCAGGGCAGAGGAGGAGGGCAGAGGAGCAGGGCAGAGGAGGAGGGCAGAGGAGCAGGGCAGAGGAGCAGGGCAGAGGAGCAGGGCAGAGGGCTTCTGTAATTTGCTGACTAACTGTTGGAACAGGATGAGGAAGTGGTGGAGGAGGCCATGAGAGCTGCTTTCATAGGTGGCTCTCTGTGACACAGACACGAGTCAGTGTGATCCTCCTCTACGTCCTCTACGTCGAGCAGGGCAGAGGGCTCTCTCACCACCACCACCAGGGGTGCCACTTCTTGCTTTTAATTCTGCCGAGCAGTGCAAGCCGACTATCTTGGTGATCTGGATTTGGTCTCATTTGGCGAGCCAGAATCTGTGTCTGAGCTGGAATTCAATCGCTGTTAAATTCCTGGCAGAGTCGCTGCAGCTTTTATGGAGTGTGTGTGTGTGTTCATGTTTGCATGAGCTTGTGCATACAAGTCAGCATTGTGATCAAAAAGTCTGCAGTTTGTATGAGGTGGTGGCGACCATGAGCACTGTGTGTTTGTGTGTGTGTGTGTTGTGTGTGTGTATCACATTTCACCCTCTGCCATCTCATCTTTTGTCTCTCTTTCTCTCCCACTTTGACATTAACAGGACTGTAACAATGCTTTGTGTGGGTGAGAGGGTGAGGCCAGTGAAGGGGTTTGTCATTCTGAGCTGCTGTAACTCACAGACACAGACACAGACGGTGTAAATTCTTCACCTGCCACACACACTGCTGTGATGGTAATGTTAAATCAATCCTAAAGTTCAGGTTATCCAGAATTTAAAAATGTCTGCGAACAAATCCATAGGAATTCCACAGCAGGACATTAAGATAATCATTAATAAAACAAACTGCAGGAGGAATAAAGAACAACCTCCTGCCAAGTGTGAATTACTTCACTCCTCCACCACATGGTGTGATCTCCCTTTTTTTTTTGTGTTGAGTCAAGGCAGAGCGTTGGCCTCAGAACAACCACGTCCTCTGTTTGAGTGGGGTTTTTAATAACCTACCTGGGCTGGTCGATAATAAATCATCCAGCAAATTGAACAGCGGTACTTTCCCAATGTTTTCCTTCTCCATATACAGAGGCGTGCATACAGTAGGTCTTCAGCTAACTCCGTGTTTTGGTAGGTTTTGAGCCAAAAGAGCTCGACGAACACGTGGATTTAATGTTCGAGAAACTCAGCATTAAATCTGCTCTGAGCCCAAAGACGTGCTGACCAACCAAGATTAGACGGTTTGGCTGCAGAAAACGGTTACCTTGCACTAACTGTGCACCATTAGTCAAACACTTTTTCTGCTCAATGTGCAAGTAGTCATTACAAAAGAAACACTGACGTTAATTTAAAAAATCTTTGTTAAAAAAAAAGGCTTATTCAGGTAAACTATATTTTTAGGTACTTTTGGTAGAAAAAAAGAAACTTACATGAATACATGAACCTGTACATATTTGATATTTATCTGTTCTACAAAGTTTGGTGGTCCTTGACTTGAACCTTCAAGACCCCTGGTCTGAGTAAAACCCTGAACCTTCAAGACCCCTGGTCTGAGTAGAAGAGTTAAAACCCGGAACAGAACTCTCTCTGTCAGAGGCTGTGTAATGATTTGGGATTGTCCTGCTGGTTGAGTTGGGGTACTGTTGTGTATGTGATTCTACCATTATTACAGACTAGTATTAACATAAAACACATTTTTCAAGAAGCCTTGACTAATATTTTTTAAGGATACGCTTCAGAAACAGGATGTTCTCACCAAATGTGGATTACAGTCGGGTTGTAACCATGATTCATGAAAATAAGTTTTGATCTCTGTCTGCAGTCTTGCAAATTTTCCAACATTATTTCCAATATCCAACCACTTGATCCCAACCGCTTCCCATCACAGATTCTACCGTAACGTCGCCTGATTGCTGTCCTTTGAATAATCCCTGTAATCCCTGTAATCTGAGCAGAACATTTTCCTTTTCTCCTTGTTCCTGACCAGGGCCAGAGTCGATCTCCAGCTACAGTGGCAGCACCATGTCTGAGGCCATGATGCCTGACACCGTGGTGTCCTCTGGTGTGGGTGGTATGTACGGGGAGAAGGCCGGTGGTCCAGTGGACTTCAGTTACGTGGGCATCGACGCTATCCTGGAGCAGATGAGGAGGAAGGCCATGAAGCAGGGCTTTGAACTCAACATCATGGTTGTGGGTGAGTAGATCATCTGTGAGAGAAGGTGTTCCAACAGAGCTCCGACCTCTGCAGCAGCCTCACATGTCTGTGTCCCTCACTCCCTCGGCTCATTTCAGTTTGTTCTATAATATAGAATTCCCATCTGTGCCATACAATCATGGCATATCATTTGATCCACACTGTTAAAGCAACTGAAAAGAACAACAACTGAGACTCAAATAACTGTCAGTAATCCTCACACTTAACAACTGTATTTGGAAAAAATAAAAATTTGAATCTCTGGCCCTAAGTTGTCTGTCCAGATTCTCTAGGGGTTCTTTGGGAAATGTTTATGATCTTGACCCAAAATTTTAGTCCATATAGTTCAACAACTTCATCCCCTAAAGCAAAATTATATCCTAATCTGTCATCGAACTCCTCCCATCACTGAGCCCTAAATCACTTGGCAAAGTCAGAAATCGTCAGCTTTCACTGTTGGCACGACGCGTACAGTACAACCAGGTAGATTCACCTGATTAGGTGGTTGTGTCAGAAATGTCTCCGCTGTCTCTGTTCTTAAATGAACCCACGGAGTATCTACTGCAGTAGCAGCTGCTGCAGGTGTTCTAACGCTCAGGTGAAACACACTGACCTGAGGGCAGGAACTGTCACTGTTGAAATACAGAATGACTTACAAAGACGTACGCGTACTAGGTTTTGTTGTCTGAAAATTGTCTGAAAAAAATCACATGCCGCTCTGGTACGACACTGTAATCTCCACCATCAGCTTTCACTGTGAACCTGACACCTCAGACGTTCTTCGATACTGCTTTCACTGTTGTTTGCTCGTTTAGCTGTGGTAAACAGACACGTTTTTAATTACACACACTCCTAACACCCTACCTGATCACACGGGGCCGGCCTCAAATAAAAGGTTCTGGTTTAACAGTGGCCTCAGGGTCTGGACTGAACGGTGCACAGTTAAATGGTGAATAAACATTTATGGCGTCCACATGGTTTCAGGTTTAAACACATTCCAACACTTTGTTCCAATAATCCACTCACTCAGTTTTAATAGACCACAGAAAAGGTGTAGGCTGATGTGTTCATGCGCAGTGGTGCTGCCCTCTCTAGAGATGTTTTACCAGCCAGTAGGTGGCAGTGTGGCAACTCAGTCTACCATATACTGTTTAAATACCTCAGGGGAAAAAGGGTAGGCTAGGTTGAAACAGTATTTCTGTTTTTGCACCAGTGTTAGGAGATCGTAGTGAATCAACATCTGGTTCAGAGTTTGATGTAAGAACTAAAACAAATCCACTGTAAAAAGTGGATTTCACCCACTGTTGCTAAAAGCTAGTTTCCTACTAAAACAAATCCACTGTAAAAAGTGGCTCTCACCCAAAGTTAGCAAAGACATATTTTTCCATGTAGTGTTTATCACTGCTTTATTTTAGCCATTAATTAAAAAAAACCCCACAATTTCCAAATTTGAGCCTTGAAGTCAACCGTGTTCCAGTGTGCGTCTCCAGTCGTCAGATTTGTTTCCCGTTGTTGATGTAACCTGAGAGTGAACCCTGATGATGGCTGCTCTCTAAACTCCTCCAGTGACAGTGTTCTGTGCAGTGATGGAACGGTGAGATGGAACCATGACTATAAACATTAGGACAGGCAGTTTCCAGCGTTCCCTCTCCCTCTGTCAGTGATGTGTAGATGCAAAATAGTTGCTATGGTTTTACAAGGCAAAAGTTGGCGTTTAGGTCGATTCATTTTAGGATTATTTCATATTTCATGTGTTTTTATACTGAATCTAAATGTAATTGTCACAGACGTGATGTTCTTCACCTGCAGCTTTGTTTGGCTGTTGACCTCTGTGACTGTTTTTGTTTACAGGACAGAGTGGCCTGGGAAAGTCTACTCTGATGAACACACTCTTCAAGTCTAAAGTCAGCCGCAAATCTGTGCTGGCCACAGCCCAGGAGAAGATCCCCAAAACAGTGGAAATCAAGTCCATCAGTCACGGTACGGCTTCCCTGAAGCCCTTGAAATTCTCTTCTCTTCTTTTCATGTCATTGTTTTTTTTTTTTGTTTGTTTTTTTCTTACCTACCTTGTCTGCCAGGCGGTCCGTGCTATTTTAAACCTAATTTTCTGAAGCCACGGTCCAACATTAGAACTAACACAGCTGCTCTGAGTGTTTAAAACCACATAGAAACGGCCGTCTATAGTTGTTTTGATACACATTTAGCTCCTCTGAGTATAGGTGAGACGCAGCCAGTGCAATTGTAGAATTCCTGCTTCCTGAAGCTCCGGTGGTTGTGCGGAGAGTGTACGTTGTGTTTAAATCACAGTGGTGTTTTGGCTGCTGGCAGCTGCTGACGTTGTTTTCGTTTCTGCACAGACATCGAGGAGAAGGGAGTGAGAATGAAGCTGACGGTCATCGACACACCAGGCTTTGGAGACCAGATCAACAATGAAAACTGGTACCTAACCTTTCTACGACCACCACATTCCCCATCTCTGCTGTCTCCTTTCCTGTTCCCTTTCCCTCTTTATTATCTTTCTCCTTTCTCTGATGCTCTTCCTTCTTCCTCCGTCTGTCTACACTTTTATCTCAACATCTGCTTCCCTGTTTCCTCCCTTCACCTTTCTCTCCACGTTCCAGCTGGCAGCCCATCATGAAGTTCATTAACGACCAGTATGAGGCGTACCTGCAGGAGGAGATCAACATCAACAGGAAGAAACGGATCCCAGACTCCAGAGTTCACTGCTGCATATACTTCATCCCCCCGACCGGACACTGGTGAGGACTCGCTCGCTCGCACACTGCTATAAATAAACACAAGGAGAAGAAAAACATGAGAGGGCCTGGATATATCTGGGTCACTTCTCAACACAACAACACGGAAAAGACACTTTAAAGAACATGGTAAACAATCAGAAACATTAGCTTTGATTTGACTGAGAAAGAGGGAAATCAGGGTCTCAAACCTATGGATCATGGACCACTTCCAGCCCACGAACCCACTAAATTTGACCTCTAAAAGATGTTGTTGAATTTTGTATTTAAACCTCGTGGTGCTTCAGTGAAACAAACACTCTTTGCCACAGTGTGTGTGTGTGTGAATAGTGACGTTGTTGTATAGATGCAGAGTATGTAGAACTGACCACACATTCACACTCCCTGTTAGCCAGAGGATTTTCCATGTACAGCGGGTTGAAATATCTCTTTCCTGTCTTTAAGGAATGCATTCTGGTGAATTTCCACTCAGTCAGAGGGGGACACAGTCCAGAACCCCCCGTATATATACACGCACATAGAAGAGTGATGGTCCGCTCTCTCCCAGCTCTAGGAGCAGCAAACAGTGTCCCAAACAAATGTCCCGTCAGCCCACATCTGTGTCTGATTCAACTCCATAAACTCCCTTCTCTCTCTTTCGCTTTTTCTCCCTTTTTACTGCTTGTTCCAGCGACTCTGCTCTGAGCTGTAGAGACAAACATCGACTGAAGGGTTTACAGCCTTGGCTTTTGTGTAACTTTAGTCGAGTGGGGCAGTGAGACGTGGGGGTATCGTAAGAGCAGCTGTGGATTGTCAGCCTGGTGTTTCAGCAGAGACACAATCGATCAATGAGCCGCGTGCAAAAAAAAAACAACTCAAAAATGAATTTTTCTGTCATGATTTGTGTTTGTGTTGGCGGTGGGCTGGTGAGAAACCAGCCCACCCCCCGCCCCCCATCTGTGCCTCCATCAGAGATGTTTCATGTGGATCCAATGCTGCAGATGTCCCACAGCCTGGTCAGCAGCTGCTCACACTTTGTCTCAAACATCTAATGGGACAGAGACAGGAAGTAGGAGGGAGACAGCGAGTCTGTGGGGGTGTCAGGATTCTGTGTAATCGATTGTTGAACTTGGGTCTTTGCGAAGGCAGCACTAAGTTAATGCAAAAAGCTCAGTGAACAAGATCACCACATTCTGATGATTTCATCAAACTGCAGGAAAAAGAAAAGTCTCTGACCCTGAAATGAACCACATCATAATCACTCTTAAAAAAAACAAAGCTTTTTTGTTTTAGAAAAACCCCACAGCAGAGTTACATAAGGAATTGGAGGGGATTTGGTAAAGGTTTAAATGTGTCACAGTTGTTCCTCCAGCTGGAAAAATGTGGGGGAAATATGCCCTCTGGTGGACTGACTTGGTATACTTTTAGAGTTCTATTAAACTCATTGAATATTAATCCAAAGAATACCGAAAAATGCTCCTAGTTTACTGACTTTGTGTTGAATTATGCAACTTAAACATCACATTCAGGAAAATAGCTAATATTTAGTCCTTCTGTCCCTGCCCTGAAAAACTTGTTTTTATATTTCCCTCCAGTCTGCGGCCTCTGGACGTAGAATTTATGAGACGTCTGAGTAAAGTGGTCAACATTGTCCCCGTCATCGCCAAAGCTGATACACTAACCCTGGAGGAGAGGGACTTCTTCAAAAAGAAGGTTAAAAAAAACCAAATATATACTGTGTGTGTGTATATGTAGTATACTGTGTGTGTGTGTGTATATATACGTGTTATATGTTATATGTTATGTTATTAGTTTTGAGTTACTCTATTACTCATTTCTTTATGTATATAAATCTATATAAAATGATTTTTAGAAGAAATCTGTGCCATTGATTTAAGACTGTTTATTGATCTCATCATTTTCCTCCTCACATTCTCAGTGAACTTCTGCCCTCTTGGTGTTTTTTATAAATTTTCCTGGCGTCTGTACCTTTTTGTGCTTACAGTGAACTTCTGCCCTCTTGGTGTTTTTTTTTTTTTATAAATTCTCCTGGCGTCTGTACCTTTTTGTGCTTTCCTTTTTCCCTCCTGTGAGCTTTTCTGGTTAGTTCAAACTGCCTGACAATTAATGACTAAGCCCTAACGTTGTAGTGGATTATCAGGCAGATCAGTGTTAATTCCTCCTTAATCTGTACATCAGACGCTTGGTTTCCTTGAGACTACATCAAACACATCGGTCTGATTACTGTGTGTTCAATTACAGGCCTCACTTTGTATCCTGGATTAAAGATGGTTTTGATGAACGCTCTCTCCTGTGTGTGTGTGTGTGTTTAAACCCAGATCCGGGAGGAACTACAAGCCAACGGAATCGACGTGTATCCTCAGAAAGAGTTCGACGAGGACGCAGAGGACAGGATGATCAATGAGAAGATCAGGGTGAGGAGGTCACCGTGTCTGTCACCTCAGTCCAGCTGAGAGCACCACGAGGTCATGTCCTGACTTTAATGAATCATTTTGTCCTTGACCTTTGACCTTGGCGCAGGAGATGATCCCGTTTGCGGTGGTGGGCAGTGATCAGGAGTACCAGGTCAATGGCAGGAGGCTGTTGGGGAGGAAGACCAAGTGGGGTACAATTGAAGGTAAAAAAAAAAAAATTGAAAAGAATATAAAGAGGTTTCTCTGGGATTAACGTACTCTGGACACAAACCTCTGCATCACACAGAGAGCAATGACTCCATCTAGTGGACGGTCTATAAAAATCAATTTAAAGTAAAGCTCCCGGTTACAGAAGCCTTATGGCGTCGATCCATTTGATTTTATTCTTGTGTTGTTATTCATAATTTCTACCTTCTTCTTCCCTCTAACAGTTGAAAACATCGCCCACTGTGAGTTTGCTTATTTAAGGGATCTCCTCATCAGGTGAGTAAAGTTGGGGATTTAAGAAAACCTTTAACAAATGAGCCACAGAACTACCTGACACTGAAGCCCAAACCTCTGGCTGAAGACCGTCAGCTGTACAGATTGAAGACTGTCCCTGATGTCTGTCTGTCTTTGTTCTAGAACCCACATGCAGAACATTAAAGACATCACCAGCAGCATCCACTACGAAATGTACCGCGTCAGGCGTCTCAACGAGAACAACACGGCGGTGGCTCACACCAACGGCCTCCCAGAACATCATCTGACCGCTCACGAGATGTAGACGCCGCCCTGCCCCGCCCAGCCCGGCCCGGCCCCGCCCTCTTCTGCCACACTTGACCTCAACTGTGTGGGAATCCATTGGTAATGAGACTTTGTCCATCCGTCAACTCTGCTCCAGCAGAACCTTAAGAACCTGGACCTGAAAGCTCGCCACAGGGACTTGATTTGACAACGTTATCGGCGACTGAATGGACAGACCCTGTGTCGGTTTAGTGCCTCTGACAAACACTACCCTCTCACCGTGGGAGTGAAGAGACCTTTGAATTCTCCTTTTTTAAACCGTGGTGGGATTTTTTTTTTGTTTTTGGGGTTTTTTGTTTGTTTTTTTTACTCATGGTGCCAAAACTTCAGCATATGCCAAACAGAACGGTTTGTTTTTCTCTCAAATCCCTTAGTCAGTAACACGTTAGCCTTGTTTGAGATGATTTTTAACGCTGCGTTCATCAGGATTGGTGCCGTATCAGTTTGAATCCCTTTATAAACCTGTGTAGTAAGTCTTTGCACTCGATCACCACGACACGTCATCGACTGAGGCTGTTGGAGTCACACACACACACACTTATCTGTCGCCTAATAGTCGTCTAACAGGTCATTAAACAGCACATCATATGTTTGAGCTTTGTCTTTTCCTTTTATGTCTTTTTTTTTTTTGACTCTTGTCTGTTCGTGTCGTGTTCAGTCCAGATGTTGCGTTTCCCGGTGATAAAAATGTTCTCGTTTTTTGAATATAAAAATATCTTAAGAGTGATTTAAGATGAATTAATATTTATGCACGAGATAAAAATGTGAACATATGCCATGAGTTGTGGTCCACTCTTTCAGATCATTCACACGAACCAACAAACACATGCCGCCCTGGTCCTCACCTGGTCCTCACCTGGTCCTGGTCACAGTGCCTTATTTATTGGAGACCGTTTGATCACATGTTCGCTCCAACTGGAAACAGAGCAGATTTGTTGAAGCCACATTTATAACATACTTTTCACTTTGTTGTGTTTTTAAGTTTCCCATAATATACCAAGGAACCGTGTTTGAAGCGTATATTCGTTCTCTGAGCTGCCGCCGTCGTGCTTTCTCCTGTATATTCTTCTGTGTTCTGTTTTTTTTTTACTTGTATTATTAATAACAACAACCCTTTATCTTATTTTAAAGAAATAAAGGTTAAAGTTGTAAATATTTACTTTCTTTGATTTTGACTTATTTATGTTAGTGCCTTTTCTACTTATGGTAGGACACAATTTTTTATCTCTAACTATCTTTTAGCTCATTCATTTCTTTATCTTATGGGCTAACCTTTAGTTATCTGTGTACAGCTTTTGTCTGTATTCCGTCTCCCCTCTAGCAGCAGGCTGTTTTAGTTTCATCACTTCATATTCTCGCTCTCTAACATGGTTTCCTCCTTCTCTGATTTCCCATTATGTTTGATTGCAGGTGTAATTCACAGAGTGCGGCGCTTTAATTGACATCTCATTAGGCTCTTCCTTGATTACCCTGTGAAATCAATATGGCTGCTGCGCCGTCAGCGAAGGCCTGATTAGCACTAATCACCGTGATGCTGGAGTGGATACTTTCGTCCTCAGTGAGAGGTTTGGTCCTGAGACCTCCAGCTGAGACCTGCAGATCTCTACAACAGTAACAGATCTGATCCTACTGAAAACAAGCAAAGAGTTTTTAAAAGGCGGAGGAAGGAACTCTATTATAGACTATTTCCACTGGCTGTAACTCTCCTGCCCACCACTCACTAAGATGTGACTAGAGTTGGTTTGTCCCAACACCATTTATTTTTTTTGGAGAGTAAATTTAAATTTGTGTACTCACTGATACCTCACAATAGGGGAAATATATATAAATATTACAATGTGTTTCAACAACGGGATCTAACGTGATTTTTATGTTTGTTTTTCTAAACAATACACACAGTACTTCAAAACGGCCCCTCACTGACATGTCATCTGCTGTGTCCCTGCAGACTCCTGTCTAATTCAGGTGGAAGTGGCCTGCAGCTCACTGGTTCCCAAATAAACACCCTCAGTCTCAGTGATTAAGTGTTAAGAACCCATTATCTCAGCCTTGTCCCTTTATCTCCCTGAGGAAAGAACCAGCAGTGGAGCCGCAGCTGTAGCTCTTCCTGACCGCTGCGCCCGCCCCTGTTGGCAGCTCTCCAGCTCCTTACCCACCTCTCTCTATCTCTCTCTCTATCTCCCTCCCTCTGTGACGTTGATGAACGATGTTCTGTCCGCCTAACGACCAAGTCAGAGAGGATACTTCTTTACTCACCGACTCGTGGATCTTTCTGTCTCTCTCATTTGCAGAGAGGCTTTAATGTCTGTTGACTAACACTGTGTCTACATACAGTGATCTCCACACACGACACACACAAACTCCACTGAACATCATGCTACGCTTGGACAGGTCAGGTCATGCTCATTGGTCAGACGTGGCACAGAGTGATGGAGTGGACCTATCAGCTCAGAGCTGGTCCTCACTCACTACAGGAAGCCCTTTGACAAATGCTCCTCGTGGTTAATGTGTTTCTGCATGAATATGCAGGAGGTGCTTAAAGAAGAACCACGGTGAAATGAATGTGAGATACGACTGCAGGACAACAGACACACATTTTTATCAAGTCTCATTCGGTTATTAGCTTTGTTCCTATAATTTTAGCTAACTTTAAGCACTATTTCTATGGATTATTGTTTTAGGGTTTTTTTTCTAGTGTTGTTTTAGCTAATTCAAAGTTAAGTCTTATTGTGTCTGAATTTGTATATTTTTGCTATGGATTATTGTTTTAGGGTTTTTTTCTAGTGTTGTTTTTAATTCAAGGTTAAGTCTTATTGTTTCTGAATTTGTATATTTTTGTGTGTTAACACATCATACTATTATTTTAAACCATATTAATCTAATTTTGAAAATTTGGACGTTTTAAATCTTATCTAAACTTCATACCAGAGCGACTGTTTGTGTTTGTGTCGTTGCATTTCTTTAATGTCTGTCTATGTCGACGACGTCACCATCTCAGCTCACGTTTGTTGTCCTCATTTGTCTCCTCCATCCTCCATCTGCCCGTTCTCTCTCTTTGTGTTTACAGACAGCTAATTTTCCTTTTCCTTCCTTCCTTCCTTCCTTCCTTCCTTCCTTCCTTCCTTCCTTCCTTCCCTCCCTCATTCCCCCTTCATTCCAGTCTCTTCCCACTTCCAACCCTGCTCGCTCTTGGCTCAGCGCCCAGCTGCTCAGACACGTAGAGGGAGGGACTGCCGGCGATATGCAAATGGTCCGACTTTATGCAAATCAGATCTGCTGTTAATTAAAGTCAGCTGCTGATTCAATTAGCCGACAGAACAGAGGCGGGTTGGCTAACCGTGAAGACAACATTCCCCTGAAGTGTGTGTTGGAGAGGACAGGAAGAACAAAGTCAAGTGTGTTTGTGGTTCAAATGATGTCTTCATACAGACCTGTCAGTGGGTGTGGAGTAAAGACTCGTACTGGCTGAAGAAAACAAAGGACATAAACATCATATTCTCATATACTCTGGTCCAAACAAAATTAAACTAATTACTGATGCTGACCTAACGGAAATAATTCCCATAGAGCAGGGTGACTGTATAAAATTAATGTCTGTGTATGTTTTTCTTGTGAAGTCTCTTGTGGTGTGTTTACAGAAGCAAAGTTGGCTAAAAAATACAGCTAGTATTAGCAAAGATAAATGACTGGAAAACAGCATATGAAGAGAGTTAATGACTGGAAAACAGCATATAAAGAGAAAAGTTTTTTTTTTCTTTTTTTGCCACTAACCCAGGATACCTGGACGTTTTTGGACTCGTACATGTCTATGTCCCCATCCTCACCTCTACTTCACTATATTTTCTTTATTTTTTTTATCTTAAATAAGAGTGAAGAACCTGATTCATAAATTCTTACCAGAAATTTGGCTGTGGATTGTAAAAAATGTGTTTAGTCATTTTTATTGGCATCTATGTAGAGTTTTCTATTGTTATAATTTTCTATTTCTTGTTTCCTAGTGAGGAAAATAAAGTTCTCTCATGGTCCTGGCTCAGAGTCAGTTCAGGATTAACTGAGCAAAAAGGCCAGGATTGAGGATGAGAGGAGAAGTTGATCCACAGAGAGAAGAAGAAGAAGTTACACTGTGTGTGAGTGTGTGTGTGTGTGTGTGTGTGTGACTGATCTTCACACAGAACCAACTGCACACATACAAATCCAATCAGCATCCATGAGTCAGGGGACCGTCAGATGTGCTCCTGCAGAAAGGACAGAACGGGTCGGCAAATTGCATTTTGACTTTGAATCTCCTGACGTCCAGAGATATCAGACAGAACAGAGGGGTCCGGAGGAGGACGTGCAGGAGAGACTGCGGGTGAATGTACCAGGGTAGGGGGCGGGGGCCGTCAGAGGACATGAGCAGGCAGGGAAGTGAGAGGTTGGAGGAGAAGATCAGGAAGAAAGAAATTCATTTTCCTCATGGTTGCACTTCACTGTCAGGGCTGAAACACGTGAGGGAGATGTGGACACTAGAATGAAGACGCCGTTCTCCACCGTCGTCCCTCAGCTGCACAGCTAACAACTGTTTCTCCTCCAGTCGGCCACTGGTGAGTTAAAAAGTGGAACATGGAGTTAGTTTGATGAACGACATGAGTCTGATTTGGTAAAAAGTGACTTCCTCTTCCTTGTTATCGACTCATCATCCTGCTGTGATGGTGACGACGTTTGTTTGTTGTTTTATAGTCATGTGTAATTTGGTCCAAGTGGCTAAAGAGCCACAGGTCAAATGAATGGATCCGAACACCTGCTGTTGTAGAATATCACTGTTGATTTAACTTTGTTTAATGTTGCTTTAATAATCTCTTATTAACAGTTGTACTGTGTGTGTGTGTGTGTGTGTGTGAGAGAGAGAGCGAGAGAGCTGCATCAAGGTGTAGCTCAAATTCTCAGCTTAATTAACAGCAGCCCTCTTCAGAGCTGCCACCTCACTTAGTTAATTAGTGCTGAATATGAAATGCCAGGATTTTAATTAGCCTTCTATTGTCAGGGGGGCGGAGGGTGGGGGTGGGGGTGGAATCAAAGACCAATTTTCACAGCTCCCTCTGTCACACTTTACATTAAACAGCCTGAACGTCTGATGCCTTTTCAAAAGTTGCCAGTTGAATTCTCAGCGTCTAAATGAATATTTGAAAAGAACATGATTCTAAAATTGACGGTGGAATTTTGGCTCCTTGTATATGAACGTTTCTGTTCTCTGGTTACCAGATTAGAATTTGGATTAAAAATGTCCAAAAACCAATCAAGTGATAAGATCATTGAATGAGGACCTTTTTTTAAAAAATGATTTTTGTTCTATTCCCTGTCGACTTTTTTCCCAGTGTGAAGCGTCAGATACTGGTGCAGTCAATAATGAGGCTCGACCTCGGGGTCTTGACGGGGCTGTTAAGTGAAGAAAGGGTGTGTGGGTTCAGCGGGCAGGTAGATGGGTTTGCGGTCTGTTCTGCAGTCAGTAATTGAATTGATTACAGAGCTTAGTCTCTGCTGGAGACGTGACGACAGGGAGCGGGAAATGGAGATAGATGAGCCTGAGGCTGCAGCTGCGAGACAGGACTGGAGAGGAGCTCATCTCAGCTGGACGAGCCGCGGTGTGGCTGACCGCTGTGGACGGAGGA